CGACTTGTTGACTTGTATATTGTAAGCGTCCTCCTCTAAACCGCAAGCTCAAGATCTGAGACACCTGCATCTAGTCTTGGGCGCAAATAAACAAAAGCTGCCTGCAAAAGAATTTCTGTGCTTCAGGGGCTGAGCTATGCACTTTATTTACATCCTGTCATGTGGTTATCCCAGTTACAGCAAGGCAGGTATTGTTGCTCTTCTGTTATAGACAAACTGAGGCTCGGGGCGGCGGGGCACAGTCTCAGGCCCAAAGTCACATAAAACATCGAGCCAAGTAGTATCAGGTAGGGGTTTTCTCCCACCCAGGCTTTTTTCTACTGCTTCACCCAGCCACAGCAGGATTTCTGGGTTTGAACCCCAAGCCTGCCCCCTTCTCGGTGGATGGTGTGTGAAATTCACTCAGCTTGATCTTCCAAGTGCTGAGGTTTTGAGAGTGAGGTGTCAGGCTGTGCAAAGTGGACAGGTAAAGAGCATTTCATTTTCAGCATCTCTAAGCAGTTGGGCTAGAGTTTAATTTAAGTGCCCGGGTACCATGGCAATGCGAGTGCTATAAATACACAAGAGAGCTTCTTGCCGCCAGCCTGCCGGTGCCTGCGCTTGCACCCCCACCCCCGTTTCCCACCAGGGCTCCGCTCGGCTGTTGTGCTAGGAGTGCAGGAAGGCACCGCTGTGTGCTGTGCAGAGAGCCCGCCCTGTGCCCCACGCTTGCTTTCTCTTTCCACACCCCACGCTTGAAACTGCGATTGCATCTCCACCTCCTGCTTCAGTGCATAATTCACTTCCTCCTCAGTGAAAGACACAACAGCCTTCAGTTCCCCAGAGGCCTCTTTGACGTTTGAGCCAGGGTGGACACAACCTGTCTTGCCAGCCCCAGGGTAGCAGAGATCCAGGTTAGTTAATGCATAAGGCCGTAGAGGAGATCAGCAATGCAGGGGAGCAATGCGCCTCCTGCTGCAGACAGCTGGGCCTGTTAAGCCCTCCCTCGCGTTTGCCCCCGGTGGGCCTGTGGACAGCACTGGCTTGCTGTGGTGGGGCATTAGGTGGCTCGTCACCAGCCTGGACTGCAGGTCCCCTCCCCCAGGTCTGCCCTCTCAGTTGACTCAGCTCTGGTCTGCCCTCCCCAACCTCCATCACTTCTTCCAACCCCTGCAATGGGCCCACAACTCAAAGGAAAGCAAGACTGGCCTCTTGGCATCTCCTCCACCTCCTCTAGCCAGACTGTAGCCCCAGAGCGCCTCCTTCACAGATTTCCTAGAACCTAGCTTGCTGGGAATCCAGAAGTGAAAACCCGCTGGAAGCAGCTGCACTGGAATCTGAGCTCTATTATTTACTGTGTGACTATAGGAAAGTCACTTTGCCTCTCTGAGTCTCAGTGTGAAACAGGACCAAGGAGAACCACGGTGCTAGGCCATTATGCACAGACACTCCCTTTCCCTATTTGCGAAATGAATGGCCTGTGTTAGACTTATTTCACTTTACTTTCCAGCACGGTAAGAAGCACCGGGGACCCAGTGGTAAAGAAGAAACCATCTCTTCTGCCTCTGCTCTCGTGTTGCTAAGGTTTCCTTCCACCCTCATTTTCTGTGGCTTAGGCCATGTTTTCTCATCGTTGAAAAGAATAGTCCACCACACCATTATGAATCTCAAGTAGTGCATGACTAAAGAAAGGGCGATGTCACTGGCTCAATCACAGAAGATAAGAGTGCATTCCCTGGGCACGTGGGAGGGATGGCGTGAGGTTAGGAGGTACAGTCAAGGAGCAGGAAGACAAATCTCAGCCGTTCTGCAAGCCTCCACTTCCCCCAAAGAATGCAGGCGCCAACAGGAAACTACTCCTGATATATTCACATCCTTCTTTCTTGCTTGTTTCTGCTTTTTTTTTTGCATTTAATTTCTCCTCCTCACTATCCTTGAGAAATATATTGCCCTGCCTCTTAAGATGTGTGTGGGAAATGTCCTTCCTCCTTTGCTATGACAGTGGGGGAAAAGAATTAGGCATTGTTTTTAAGAATTTAACAGCCGGGCCGGGCGTGGTGGTGCCTGCCTGTAATCCCAGCACCCAGAAGGCTGAGGATCTTTGCAAGTTCAAGACCAGCCTGAGCCACACAGCAAGACCCTGTCTCAAAAAGACAAGACAAAACAAAACAAAAACATAATAGTCTACCCCAGGATCAGGTGTCTCCTGTGGGGTGCCTGGCTATGAAAACAAGTGAAGCTATGTGTGGCTGGTGGCCACCTTCCTCTACGGTCAGGCCCGGAACTCAGCACAGGGGGGCTGGATACACCTCCGGGAAGAAGACCCAGAGAGGCCGGGACTGCTTGTCCTCAGTTTGGACTCCTTCAGCTCAGTCACCTGTAGCACAGCACCCAATTCAACCTGCCCCATGGCTCAGCCAGTTTTGCCTTGTGTCCCTTGCAAGGCTGCCCTCCGCCCTGCAGGATGCCTGAGGATGATTCACCACCATTGAATGGGGCAGCAGCCGCCTGTGCTGTGACCTCATCCTGTGTTCTGCTTCTGGAGACAACCTGGGTTCCTTTAGTTGGGGGAAATATGACCAAAGCCTCCAGGAGTCAGTTCCTGCTTTGGTGTCCTTCCTGTTGCCCAGGCCAGGTCTAAAGGTCTAGAGGAGCAAGCCCTCTAGGGGCATCTGAGCTAGAGAGAAAATTGGGTTTGGATGTCGTCAAAAAGGTGTTTCATAATCAACGCATCCAGTAGGAAGACTTGGCCAGCAAAGAAGACACACACAAAACTTGCAGCGAAGAGGACGGTTCTGTGCAATTGCAAATAATTTTCCCAGCGTGGTGGCGCACGCCTGTAATCCCAGCACTCTGGAGGCAGGGGCTGGGGATTTAGCTCAGTGGCACAGAACCTGCCTGGCAAGCGCAAGGTCGTGAGTTCGATTCCCGGTACCAGAAAAAAACCCAAAAAAAACCAGCACTCTGGAGGCTGAGGCAGGAGGATTGTTGCAAGTTCAAGACCAGCCTGGGCTACAAAGTGAGCTCAAGGCCAGCCTGAACTGCACAGCAAGACCCTGTCTTAAAAAGACCAAAAGAAAAAAAAAAAAGAGAAAGAAAAATAGTTCTGTGGCTCCACCTTATGTAGAGGTGCACCTGCTGACAGCACGGGGTGGGGGGCCGAGAGGTGGATTACAGGGGATGCCAAGTGCCTGTGCTTCTGTCTCCTTCTGCCCTTTACACCAACCCTAAGGATGCTGTGTTATTGTGATTTTTTTTTTCCAGACCAAAGGCTGAAACTTCAGGCAAGCAAACTGTGCAAGGTCATGTGGCCAAAAAAAGGGTAAATTTGGGTTCTGAACAACTTGATGCCAAAGCTGTTGCTTCACAGCCAAAAAACTGTGCAGAGAAAACCCGGAGAGACAATCACTTGTCAACATTCACAATATTCCAGATTTGGGCCATGAGGAGGCCACAGAGCTTCAAAGCAGTTTTAAAAAGAATCAAGGTGTGGGTTAAGGGTTGAGAGGACAGACACTGGAGCCAGACAGGTCTGAAGTTTGCCTTATTAGGTCTGTACCCTGGGATTCTCAAAGCCTCAATTTCCTCGCCCATAAAATGGGTATAAGATACAAATTTCCCTACTCCAGAGGATTGTTGTGAAGATTAAATAAACAAGATCGTGTCTGAGAAACATGTAACAAATGTCAGCTTTACTTTGGGCTATTGCTATCATCAGTGATTGTAGGTTTTTGCTGGATATAGCTGAGTGAAAGGGTACTTACCTGGCCCCGCACCACTGGAAAATGTAATAATTGGAGGTTGTTAATGGTGAAAGCTTGGCCCGAGCAGAGGAAACAGGGAAAGATGAGGGAATTCTCTAGTAAGGGAATGGGAAACTCCTACTTTTGGGACCTGTCTGAGGGTTGTTCCTGGACTTTGGCGTCTGGTATTTATGGAATGAAGGAAGGCAGGGTCACACAGCGAGCCGCTGGTCTAGCCTCAGGGCAATAATTAACTTGGTTGATGGCTCACACCTATAATCCTGGTATTGTGGGAGGCTGAGGCAGGAGGATCACAAGTTCAAGTTGAGCCTGGGCAATTTAGTGACTTGGTGAGATTCTGTCTCAAAATTAAAAATAAATAAATACACAAATACACAAATAAAAGACTGGGGATGTAGCTCAGTGCAAAAATCCTCCTGGGTTCAGTCCTCAGGACCAAGGTGAGATAAGATGACAAACAGAAGATTTCCTCCCTTGCTCTACACCCTCTGCACAGAGAGAGCAAGAGCTCTGGGGCTCACATGAAAGAATCCATTCCACCCAGCTTCATCTCCACTTCAGCATTTGCAATAGTCCATAGCAAAGATGTTAAGCTCACTCTGGAAGCACAGATAGATGTGCAAGCTCAAAGCAGCCTGATCCTTCAGTCAATCGTGCTACCTTCCTTTTTAATTTTTCAAAAACTACCATCTGGGGGCTGGGGATTTAGCTCAGCGGCACAGTGCCTGCCTGACAAGCGCAGGGTTGTGAGTTCGATTCCCGGTACAGCAAAACAAAACAAAACAAAAAAACCACGTGTTTGTTTGAAGTGGTCTTGCTATTTTCACCGGGCTGGCCTTGAACTCCTGAGCTCTTAGGAATGGATCCTCCTGCATCAGCCTCATGAGTAGCTGGAATAACAGGTGTACACCACCTTGCCTGGCAGGATTGTTTTAATTTCTTTTTTTTTCCCCACTATGAAATTTTGTCTTTTTTGCCCCTCTTCCCTTCTCCCTCCCTCCTTCCTTCCGGTCACCGGTAGGTACTCAATTTAGCTAACAATATCCTAAGTATTTTACAAAGTGCTTCCCCTGGCCCCCTCTGGAAGTCCTCCCCCGGAAAGAGGTCCACAGCACTCCTAATTTTAGGGACCCTGGGGAGAGCCAGCTACATTTGCAAATTACCGGGGGGCGGGGTAGGGTGGGTAAAACCACGTGGGGAGGATTGAATAAGAGCGAGACAGATGGTGCATGTGTTGGGGGAAGGGAGGAGAGATCCTGGAAAACTTATGTTCTCCGATTTGCAAGAATGTTTTCACTTAACCACTTCTTGCCTGACTCTCTATTCTGCAGAAAAGGACAGCAACGCGTGTAAAGATTTGGGGCCACCTATGCCGATAACCTGGCCTGCCCAGGTGGAGAAAGCCAGGGGCGCTGGGAAACAGGACCCGAGAGGGACTTGTGCTGGTCCGGGGGTCCGGCCGGGGTCTGGAATCCAGGTGACGCGCTGGCTTTCTGCGCAGGGGCAGCCGAGGGGTGGCCGACCGATCGGACTGTCCCGCGAGGGGGCGCGTCTCGGGCCCTAGGACCCGCCCTCGCGGCGCTGGGCGCGGGGAGGAGAGCCGGGAACCCAGGCGCCCGCGCTCCGCCTCCCGTTTCCGGGCAGCGCTGTTACCTGCGCGGCGCGAGCCGCACCTGGCGGAGGCAGAGTCGCGGCGGGCGAGCGGAGGGCGGCGGAG